ACCCCCGCCACTTCCGCCCTGTCCCGCCGCTCCTGGCAGCGGCGTCACCCACGTGACCCGCGGGGACGGCGGCTCCGCGGGGACGAAAGGCCTCGCTGCGCGAAGGTGCCCGCCCCCCCCAACCCAGGCCCAGCCGTTCACCATCCATTCTGCCTGTGCCCCCCCGTGTCCCCCACCGCTAATTTGAGGGGGGTTAATTGCAAATCCAGAGCCCACACCCCCTTGCCCTCCCTGAGTGGCTCTTTTACTGCAGAGCGGGTGGCCTGGTTGGAGTTTTTAGGGTATTTTTCCTCCCTTTTCTCCACTTTTCATCCTCCCGAGCGTGCTTAGTCCCTGTCCCCCTCCAAATTATCATTTCCCAAAATGAATGTCAAGGGTTTTTTTAAGTAGCAGTGACCCTGCACACCCTCTCCTGGCAAAGCATCCTTTCCCGGCTGGACCATGGCAGGGATGCGGGGTTTGAGGGGGTTTAATTGCAAATCCAGAGCCCACACCCCCTTGCCCTCCCTGAGTGGCTCTTTTCCCGCAGAGTGGGTGGGCCCAGTTGGAGTTTTTAGGGTATTTTTCCTCCCTTTTCTCCACTTTCCATTCTCCCGAGTGTGCTTAGTCCTTGTCCCCCTCCAAATTATCATTTCCCAAAATGAATGTCAAGGGGTTTTTTAAGTAGCAGTGACCCTGCACACCCTCTCCTGGCAAAGCATCCTTTCCCGGCTGGACCATGGCAGGGATGCGGGGACGTGGGGACAAAGGGACATGAGGGTTCAGGTGTATGGGGACATGGGGGCATGGGGACATGGGGACTGGGGACACAGTGAAATGGCAATATGGAGACACAGGGGCATGGGGACAGGTGGACATGGCTATGGGGACAAGGGGACATGAGTATGGGGACATGGAGATATGGGTATGGGGACACGGGGCACGAGGACATGGGGACACGGATATGGGGACATGGGTATAGGGACACAGAGCATGGGGACATGGATATGGGGACGGGGCACGAGGACATGGGGACACGGATATGGGGACATGGGGATAGGGACACAGAGCATGGGGACATGGATATGGGGACACAGCATGAGGACATGGAGACACGAGGACATGGAGACACAAGGACATGGGGACACAAGGACATGGGGGCATGGGTATGGGGACATGGGGACATGGGTATGGGGACACAGGGCACGAGGACATGGGGACACAAGGACATGGGGACACGAGGAGATGGGGACATGGATATGGGGACATAGGTATGGGGACACAGAGCACGAGGACATGGGGACACAAGGACAGAGGGACATGGGGACACAAGGACATGGAGACACGGGTATGGGGACATGGGGACACAAGTATGGGGACATGGGTATGGGGACATAGGGCATGGGGACATGGGGACATGGGGATAGGGACATGAGGACATGGGTTTGGGGACACAGGGCACGAGGACATGGGGACATGAGGACATGGGTTTGGGGACACGGGGCACAAAGACATGTGGACATGGAAACCAAGGACATGGGGTCACAAGGACATGGGGACATGTGTATGGAGACATGGGGATATGGGTGTGGGAACATGGGGACATGGGGACAAAGGGACATGGGGACATGGGTATGGGGACAAAGGGACATGGGGACATGGGTAGGAGCCCAATATTTGCAGCAGGAAGGGCCACGCTGGGCTGGTGCATATGGTGCCGGGGGAGGAAGGTGGGTGTCAAGGACCCCCATCCCGGTCCCATGGGGCAGAGGGGTGTTAAAAGCCATGCTCAGCCCGGCTCTCCTGCGAGGAGCCCCCCAAAACTGACACCACCCCCCCAAAAATGACCCCTCCAAACGCCCCCCCGTCCCCCCCATCCCCTGCCAGCGGGGAGGAGGAGGAGATTTATGGTGGGCGCATCGCAAAGCTCGGCGCCGCTAATAAGGTGCCGGCTGAAGCCGTTCCTGGCTGCGCCCGGCCATAGATCTTGGCTTGTCAGGTGGGAAAATTAAAATGTTATTGATGAGGGAAGTGAAGTGCGGCGGGGTTGTCGTTATTTTTTATTATTATTTATTTATTTTTAATTTTTCTTTCCCCTGGGTCCTGCTGGGAGCTCTCTCAGGCAGCGCCGAGCATCCCGATCCCACCCACCCAAGGGCTCCCCTCCTGCATCCCGCCCCACAGCGATGCCTTGGACTGAAATTGCCTTTTTTTGAGAGGTTTGGGGTTTTTTTCCCACTCCCAGGAAGCAACTCAGGACACAAATATGTCCTATGGGAGCCAGGGGCTGCGTCCCCCCCATCCCCTCAGCACCTTCTCGAGGAAACCTCCCCAAAACTCCTGAGCCGTTCCCAGCTGCAGGATTTCTGGCAGGGAGAGGATTTGGGGGATTAATTAATTCAAGCCCAGGTGGAGGAGACTTTAACGAAGCAGCAGAAGAGCTGCCACATGAAAAGAAGGGCAGGTCTCTGGGCAGGGAGATGCTTGGACTATTTTTTTACTGATTAAATAGACGATTTAGCACCAGACCGACACTTTACAAAAGAAATTAAAGAGAAATTCAACGTGGTTCCCATCAAATCCCTGTTTCAAATCCCAGCCCATCACTTCAGGCCATGTTTCCCCCTGGGGCTGAGCCCTCCCCAGATGCCCCCAGTCCCTAATTTGCCCCTGGGGACCAGGTCTGGCAGGGACCAGCCCCCAAATCAGTCTCAGGGATGTTTATTCCTCAGTGGGAAAAGCCAGAAGGGACTAAATTCATAACGCTGGGGAGGAGCCCTGACGCCACAGGGATGGTCCCCAGCAATCCAGGGCTGGAAAAATCTATCTGGCTGGGTCAGAATCACAAACCCAGCTTAATTTTGGGGGGAAAAATGGATTTTGGTGACAAACAGCCCCAGCTCCGTGGGGACATCGCAGGGTGGAGGCTGCAGAGTTTTCTTGCTCCTCTCTCACCCGATGGGTGCGACTGTAGGGGCTGGTGGGTGTTTTTGTAGACACAGAGCATGGGGACATGGATATGGGGACACAGCATGAGGACATGGAGACACGAGGACATGGAGACACAAGGACATGGGGACACAAGGACATGGGGGCATGGGTATGGGGACATGGGGACATGGGTATGGGGACACAGGGCACGAGGACATGGGGACACAAGGACATGGGGACACGAGGAGATGGGGACATGGATATGGGGACATAGGTATGGGGACACAGAGCACGAGGACATGGGGACACAAGGACAGAGGGACATGGGGACACAAGGACATGGAGACACGGGTATGGGGACATGGGGACACAAGTATGGGGACATGGGTATGGGGACATAGGGCATGGGGACATGGGGACATGGGGATAGGGACATGAGGACATGGGTTTGGGGACACAGGGCACGAGGACATGGGGACATGAGGACATGGGTTTGGGGACACGGGGCACAAAGACATGTGGACATGGAAACCAAGGACATGGGGTCACAAGGACATGGGGACATGTGTATGGAGACATGGGGATATGGGTGTGGGAACATGGGGACATGGGGACAAAGGGACATGGGGACATGGGTAGGAGCCCAATATTTGCAGCAGGAAGGGCCACGCTGGGCTGGTGCATATGGTGCCGGGGGAGGAAGGTGGGTGTCAAGGACCCCCATCCCGGTCCCATGGGGCAGAGGGGTGTTAAAAGCCATGCTCAGCCCGGCTCTCCTGCGAGGAGCCCCCCAAAACTGACACCACCCCCCCAAAAATGACCCCTCCAAACGCCCCCCCGTCCCCCCCATCCCCTGCCAGCGGGGAGGAGGAGGAGATTTATGGTGGGCGCATCGCAAAGCTCGGCGCCGCTAATAAGGTGCCGGCTGAAGCCGTTCCTGGCTGCGCCCGGCCATAGATATTGGCTTGTCAGGTGGGAAAATTAAAATGTTATTGATGAGGGAAGTGAAGTGCGGCGGGGTTGTCGTTATTTTTTATTATTATTTATTTATTTTTAATTTTTCTTTCCCCTGGGTCCTGCTGGGAGCTCTCTCAGGCAGCGCCGAGCATCCCGATCCCACCCACCCAAGGGCTCCCCTCCTGCATCCCGCCCCACAGCGATGCCTTGGACTGAAATTGCCTTTTTTTGAGAGGTTTGGGGTTTTTTTCCCACTCCCAGGAAGCAACTCAGGACACAAATATGTCCTATGGGAGCCAGGGGCTGCGTCCCCCCCATCCCCTCAGCACCTTCTCGAGGAAACCTCCCCAAAACTCCTGAGCCGTTCCCAGCTGCAGGATTTCTGGCAGGGAGAGGATTTGGGGGATTAATTAATTCAAGCCCAGGTGGAGGAGACTTTAACGAAGCAGCAGAAGAGCTGCCACATGAAAAGAAGGGCAGGTCTCTGGGCAGGGAGATGCTTGGACTATTTTTTTACTGATTAAATAGACGATTTAGCACCAGACCGACACTTTACAAAAGAAATTAAAGAGAAATTCAACGTGGTTCCCATCAAATCCCTGTTTCAAATCCCAGCCCATCACTTCAGGCCATGTTTCCCCCTGGGGCTGAGCCCTCCCCAGATGCCCCCAGTCCCTAATTTGCCCCTGGGGACCAGGTCTGGCAGGGACCAGCCCCCAAATCAGTCTCAGGGATGTTTATTCCTCAGTGGGAAAAGCCAGAAGGGACTAAATTCATAACGCTGGGGAGGAGCCCTGACGCCACAGGGATGGTCCCCAGCAATCCAGGGCTGGAAAAATCTATCTGGCTGGGTCAGAATCACAAACCCAGCTTAATTTTGGGGGGAAAAATGGATTTTGGTGACAAACAGCCCCAGCTCCGTGGGGACATCGCAGGGTGGAGGCTGCAGAGTTTTCTTGCTCCTCTCTCACCCGATGGGTGCGACTGTAGGGGCTGGTGGGTGTTTTTGTAGAGGCCCCCCATCCCCGAGCACCTTGGGGTCTCATCCCTTGCATCCTCCCAGGCTGCACAAATTAAAAAGGAAGCCGATAATTCCACTTTTTC